AAAAAAAAAAAAAAAAAAGAAAGAAAGAAAAGGACTGAAAGAATTTTCTGATGACCCAAAAAACTGGGGGGAAGAATAAGTGAAGTCTGGTGCTTCATGGACCTGTCAGTGGTTAAGGAATAAAAGTAACCAAGATCTGCATGAACTGTGGAACATCCTCCTGAAGGAGAGGAATGTGCTGCTGACGCTGGAGCAGGAAGCCGAGCAGCAGAGGCTGCCCATGCCCAGTCCAGAGCGCCTCGACAAGGTCGTAGATTCCATGGATGCATTAGATAAAGTGGTCCAGGAGAGAGCAGATTCACTAAAGCTTCTTCAGACAGGACAAGAAAAGGCCACACCCGGTGCCTGGAGAAAAGACGTCTTTGGAAGAGTTATCTGGCACAAGTTCAAGCAGCGGCCTGTGCCTTGGCACTTAACTAAAAGGTACAACAGGAAGCGATTCTTTGCCATGCTGTACGTGGATCACTGTGTCAGACTGAGATTTGAGAAACATGCCCGCATTGAAGCAAGGCAGAAAAGTTTACAGAAAAAGAATGAAACGTGTGTCCAAGAAAAGTTCCCACATCTCTCTGAAGCCCAGAAGTCAAATCTTGCCCAAAAGGTCTGAGGTTTTAGCATTCTGTGTTCGCTGCAAGCAAAAGTGTACGTACAAAAGTAAATATATGTCAGTTTATAAAGAAATTGTTTTTAGTCTGATGATTCATCGGCTGTTCTGCTAATATGGCATGCTAATGATGGATGTGGTCATGCTTCCACCAGATCAGTTGTAAAAGTAGGTATAGGGACCAGCAGTTAGCGTAATGGCTATGTCGCTGGACTCTCATGTAGTCGACCGTGGTTCGAGTCTTGTACCCGGTGGCTTAAACTCACGCCGGGCGCATGTGCGTGCGTGCCCAAGATCCCGAGAGGAGAATGGAGGAGAAGGGATTGCAGCGTGGCTATCCCCCATGGGGGAGTGATTTCTCGCTTTCTGTCTCTCTGTCTCTCTCTGTCTTTCTGGTGAGCGTACATGCCCCTTCAAAAAAAAAAAAAAAAAAATGGTAGGTATAAAGTTCAGGTTACATTCCCTTTTGATAAACCCTGTCCTCTATGCAGGCTTTACCGCCCCCTACTGTCCTACGAGAGCGTGGGTGATGTTGCCTGCGTGGTGAAGGCAGCGTGGCAGCTTTTGGAACACAGGCAACACTTTTACAATTGTGGTTCACAGGATGTGAAGGGGGTGTGGACACCACTATTGGTGAGTGAGTGCTTTTATCAAAATAATAAGAAATACATTTAGCACTTAAAGTAGCAAGTCATAGTGCATACAGTCCAAAATATTTTTCTGAAGTGGCTGGTAATTTTTATTTAATTTTGTAAGACTGTAATTATGTCTTCCTTATGAGAAAATACTTTTTCTATTTTCTTTGCCACAACTAAACTTGAAAAACCTCTTAAGCCCTCTCCCCTGAAACAGTACTCCATTTTACTCCCATTTCTGCCAAAGACAGCAGTTAGCCTTGCTTTTAGGCCTAGAAGGAATATTGAACCCATGTGTACCTGATACCCTGTATGGGAATGAGAAAAGACCAGCAAGGGAGACCAAGGATGGCCACGCTGGCTTGGTGCAACCCACGGCAGAAACAGCAACTCTGAAGGCCTGAGTGCTGGTGACACCGACTTCGGCTGCTCTGAGGTAAAGGTGAATGCTCAAGCTGCAGAAGCAGAGAGCAAGGACTTCCTCTGATCCAAGGCAGATATCCCAGTCCAAGCTATGCGTGGCCCTTCACCTTGGTTTTACCCTTCTCCTCCCCGAGGAGTGATCCCTGACTTCCCACACCTCACCTGCAGACCAGGGAACAACCAGATGTCTGCAGCCAAGCCCGAGCGGCATCATTAGAAGAAGCGTGAGTGGGGGCCGGCAGGTGGTGCGGTGGTTAAGGGCGCTGGACTCCCACATGGCCGACCACAGTTCGAGTACTGGACCTGGCGGCTTGCTTTCTCACTTTCCCCCCTTCTCTCTCTGTCTCCCTCTCTGCTCAAATCAAAATCAATAAAATAAAGTTAAATAAAATAATTATTAAAAAATAAATAAATAAAAGAGGCGCGAGTGCCCTGCCACTTCCCTCGTGTTAGAGGGGGCATTGAGATTAGGCGGACACACGTTTCCCAGTGTGGAGAAGAGGCAATCTGTCATATCAGAACACAAAATTGGGAGTCTGACCAGGCCCGCCATTCATTTGATCGTTGTCAAATGTAAAGATGAATGACCCAATGGAATTACTTTTAGTATTTTACTATAAAAAAAAAAAAAAAAAAAAAACAAAAGAAAAACCAGGAGAGTGTGTGTGTGTGTGTGTGTGTGTGTGTGTAGGTGCTCAAAATTCTTACAGGGTGGAGAAATGGGGATAAGGGGGGTGAAGTGTGATCGCGCTCCATCGGGGGTGCGTTTCCCTTCCCCTTCTCTGTTTCATTCTGGCAAGTGCACGTGCCCTTGGGTAAATTTAAACATACAAATAAATTAGGAAAAGATTGATCAATCTGGAATAGTTGAAAGAATCCATGAACTTGGAAAATGTACAGCCTAATTTTATTCCTTGTTTTCTGTGAGGTGTATATTGTGACACTGAGAGAGTTACTTATCTTTGGTCCCGTGAGGTATAAGATGGGTCTCCTGGTTTCTGATTTGGCTACTATGAATAAATTAATCTACAACGATAATCTATGATCTGTTTACTCAATCAATATATCTGCCCTATAATTTTATTCTATTTTATTTTAGAATTTTGCCATAGGGCATGTGTGCTCATTGAAGAGAGAGACAGAGAGAAAGGGAAAGTGAGAGATCACCCTTCAGAGGGATGACCATACCATAGTCCCTTTTCCTCCATTCCCCTCTTGAGATTTTGGGCGCAATGTACATGTACTAATGTGTTTTTCAAGCCTTAGGTCTGGGACTTGAACCATGGAGTCGGCCACATGGGATCCAGCACCTTAACCACCATGTCACCTGCTTGCCTCTTTCATTTTATGTTTTTTTTTTTTCCTTTTTTTTTTTGCTATAGGGCGTGTGCGCTCGCCAGACAGACAGAGAGAGACATAGAGACAGAAAGCGAGAAATCACCCCCCAGAAGGGATGGCCACACCGCAATCCCTTCTCCTCCATTCTCCTCTTGGGATCTTGGGCACGCACGCACACACGCCCGGCGTGAGTTCTAAGCCACCGGGTCCGGGACATGAACCACGGTCGACTACGTGGGAGTCCAGCGACATAGCCATTACCCTAACTGCTGGTTCCCATGTAATTTTATGTATCTTTAAAGAAATATATGTATAGTTATTGCCCAGTGGGCATCTGCACACATCAGAGGACAAGAAAGAGCAAAACAGACCCCAATGGGGCATGGTCACACTGCAAGTGTTTCTTCCATTTCTCTATCCCACTGGGGTTTGGGGCATGATACGCACCTGGTGTCTGTTTCAAGCTGCGAGGGCTGGGATTTAAATAGCCGTCAGCCGTGTGGGACCTGGCTTACTATGCACAGCACTTAGCCACGGTGCTATGAAGCTGATCCTCCCCTATAATTTGAGATTTCTGCTTTTTATAAAGATATTCCCCCCTCTCCCTAACTTCACCATATATGTCTTATGGATGGTTCTCATTCTTTATGTCTAGTATTAATGCCACAGAGTTACCAAGAAGGTAAAGAAAAAACATATTCCCACCTAAGTGAAGTTTAGAAAACATCCTACCATATAATTTAGAAAAAAAATGTTTGCTCTTTTTTAAAAAAGGGGAATAAGAAAGAAGAAATGAGAAAAGATCTAGGATATTACTATTACACCAATAAGGGGGTGACAGTGCATTAAAAACAGAAGATG